AGTACTCCTTTACTCAAGTAAAAGTACTCCTTTACTCAAGTAAAAGTCAAAGGTTTGGGAACTACAGATTTTTTGGTTAACAATACGTTTTTATAAGCATAGCTTATGTTTTTTTTGTGTTATTCTGAAAAGCAACTAGTCAGCTAAATGTTGAGTAGAAAGCACAATATTTCCTTCTGAACTAAAAGTATACTGACAATATTAACCTTATTCATAATTTAAAATATAAAGTACCTGTTTGCCATCAACTTCGATGTCAGCGATGTAGTTCTCAAACACCGTGGGGACGTAGACCTCTGGGAACTGGTCCTTACTGAAGACGATGAGCAGACAGGTCTTCCCACACGCACCATCCCCAACGATCACCAACTTCTTCCTGATGGCAGCCATCTGCAAACAGAATAAAATGTGGGTAGTCTTTATTTTAAGAATTGAGAGATGCATGAGAATTAACCAAACAATCAGTACACTGGTGAGACGCAAATCTCTTTGAAGACAGGAGGGAGGTGAATCAATCCAACCAGAAATAGTAAGAGAGAAAGAACAAGAGGGGGAAAAAAGAAGAAGCGACGATCGAAGTCTGTTTTAGAGCCGCACCCTCTTCCCTTTCCTGGACTGCGTCCTGTGAAAAAACAGAGTCCGGCTGAGGGGTGAGCAGTGAGAGGGAAGAGAACTGGAGCAGAGCAACGGTGTTGGGAATGCTGCAGCCTCAGTGCTCCAACACACGGCTGCACATCACATTAAAAATGATCCTAAATGTGTCACTTCTACATCCCTGTGGCCTTGTGATCTACAGCTCTTACTGCTTTCTGTTGACGCCTCTGTACGGCACACAATGTTCTCCTATTATCTTTGCTTGTATCCATGTGAGGTGGGTGTATGGGAGTGAAATGTGGCTTGCCAGAGAAAGATATGGCCACACACAAACGCACACGGATCAATAACCATCTCCACCCGCTGACAATAATGGAGAGAAGGCAGTAGGTGATGACACAATGTACTGGCTGCCTGCAGCAAGCACATTCACCAATCTGAGAGTTTCTGAACCAAAACAAAGATCTACAGACTATTTAAAGGAGCTATAATAGTTAGATATTATTAATGGGTGATATGATTATTTGCATGCGGACTCCTCGGCTCTACAGAGCTTACCAGCATCTTTCAGCTTATTGTTTTGGTTTTAAGACCCATAACTTTACAGTTTTGAATTTATTCTCACCGCTCTGTGTTGTTTTTTACTACAGCAGGCAGCCGTCTTTGGTAAAAAATTAAGATCCCCACTCTACATTACCTGCCCAGCACCAAACGGCAGACAGACACAGCTAGCGGGTGAACATATTGGAGCATTTAGCAGCTAAAGAGCCAGTTAGTGGCGCAAACACACAGCTAAAAAAGGAGAGATTAGATTGCTTTTACATTCACCAGTTAGCCATAAACAATCACACTGAATAAGGTTGTTCTGTATTTACTGTGTGTGTAAATAAGCAACTGCTTGCTGAGAAGTGTCATATCAACTTAACAGGTGATCATTCAGTGTCGTGTTTACAGCTTGTTTTTCCTGCAAAGTGGACAAAAAGTAATTTATTGCAGCTCTTAGAAAACAAGAAGTAACCCCAAGAAAGCAAAACCTCTAAGCACTTGTTAAAGTACTTCTTTCAGCACCAGCATCAGATCCAAAACCTCCAACAGGTATACTAGCAACTGTAATATGTCAAACTGTAGTTTTGCGCTATGGAATGGTAAACAGAGTTTTGCTGAGTGTATAAACAGTTGTTTCCTCTGAAATGGTCAGTGGGTGGGCTGTTGATACCAAATATTCATAGAAACCAAAGCCAATTAAATTCTTAATGGGAACATGGTGGCTCCTCTACATAGAGGGACCAAAACCATGTATTCTGTCATTTATTGCATGAATTACATTTCCTTCAGCTTTGTTAAAAAAAAAAAAAAAAAAAAGACTTTGAGCTCAGGCGTTTGTGTATCTCCACGTCCTTCATTTTGATTGGCCTCATCTATCATCTTCACCACAAGAATCAAAAGACAATTGTTCAGTTTGCTTTTTCTCTCCCACACATTAAATCAGGCCAGTTTGTCTCTGGAGAGAGCCACCTGTTCTCAGTGATAGCAGGCTGCTGTTACTCCATTCATCATACTGTCACTACCAGAAGGAGGGACACACACACACACACACACGGATGCTTTAGTCCTGCATATCTTGTGCCGTTACAAAATAATGCTGCTTATTGACGACGATAGCTCTCCCAGCATGCTGCCTATACGGTGCTGGGGGCCACACATGGTACTTAGTGGGGATAATGGCCCCTTACCTTTGCACTAATGCGTGTGTGCACACTGACGGTGCTTTGTGGGTTTTTCCCATGACATTTGTGTCCTCAAATGCCTTCCGTACTTCCTTCCTTTAAGTGAATTCCTGGTATGACAAACAGTAGAGGGAGGAGAGAAAATGAGCCACAGGAAAGACATCTGGAGTTCAACCATTTTGTCATTTTCTCTCATTCTCCCTCCTCGAGTCAGTTACAAATAAGCTTTATTAGCACAAGGAGGAGTCTCTTCCTTTCCCTGAAGTCAGACAAGTCTGGACTCGGTGTGGGATTGTTCCTTTAACAAGAGTCTGCACCGTGTGTGAGGATTCATGGAGAGCAGACACCCATATAACAGAGTGGAGGTTGTTCGATTTAAAGTAAATATGATTCATATCATCATTAACTAGGACTCTATGGCCTGAGAGTGAGTTTTACTGAGTCTCAAAACAATCCCTTAATGTTATAAATGATATTACAAAGTGCTACATAAACCTCATTAAAACAAATTAAACCCACTAAAGAACATCATCCCAAAGTATGCAACTGTTCATTGTTTTGCCATTTTGCTTTTGTATTATGACACTATGTTGAGTTATATTCAACAATCAAAAATTCAGGGTGGCCTTGATTTTGTGTTGCAATAAGTAGGCCTCAGCGTTTGGGGAAAACAGTCCAAATACACCCATTAATAATTGAAATGAAGATCTGTGTGTTGTTACAACCGCTTATACCAGCAGCAGTGAATTGATTAGACCAAGCCAGCCACGTGATAGTACAGCTGCATTATTCTCAGTGTTACAAAAAACAATAAGAACCCCAAAATGCGAGTAGTGAGTCATAATATACACAGACATTCAGTGTGTACACACACACACACACACACACACACACACACACACACACACACACACACACACACACACACACACACACACACACACACACACTAGAAGTGCGTTCACACGTCTCTCTGGATGAATACTCCTGTCTTGCATAATGTTTGTCCCTGTGTGGGGTAGCAAAGGACAAAGTTCACATACTTTGCACATGCACAACACATTAGCCAGTCCTGTTCAACAGAAGTGTGTGTGTGTGTG